AACTTTAGCTATGCATATGGATTCTTAAGAAATTATATTGGCCCCTTTAATCTTTGGTTATACTTTCGTTTTGGGTGTTTAAGGCCATACATTTGGCCCAGATAAACCACTCTTACGGTGGTTTGAGGATCTGTTCCTCAGGAGTCACATGGACTTGGGAGGAGCCCCTGGCTCCTTTCTTTTACCAGTTCCGCCTATGTGAAGATAAGTCAAAGGTCTTGCTCGACCATGGCTAGGTTCGCTTTTTTGGTCTTTTTGAGACAGGGTCTCCCTATAGTCACAGCTGGCCTGGATTCACTATGGAGACCAGTCTGGCCTTGAACTCACACAGATCCATCCCCCTGCCTTTGCCTCTCCAGTGCTGAGATTAAAGACATATACCACCACCCAGCTCACACCTTGATAAACCAAGTACATTATCTCAAAATTGTTGCCACTATCCCTAAAGAGACTACAAGGAAAATAGTGAATGGTAATACATAATTCCTTTTCTAGAAAAACAATACTGTAGATGACAATTTCTAATGTGAAAGCCCTTTTCCTCAAAGTTTAGGTATACTTTCTTCTTTTTTATTTATTATAAACTGCTTAACTGCTGAGCCATCTCTCCAGCCTTAGGTATACTTTCTTAACAGATTTGTAAAAGGTATTTCTTCTTTTGGGAGGACTTCTCTTTGTTCTTACCATCACTCTGTTCAGTAACGATCTCTGATTGCAATACTATCTCTCCCATTGTAAGTAGAGCTATGGCAGCTTCAGTGCTTCCATCACTGGGACCTTGAAAACACATCAACATTATCAACATTAAAACAGAACAAACCTGGAAGTCTCTTTACATTTTTAGATACTTATCTTCTCCTAAGCAGTTTCAATATTCTTCATACCACTATTCCACGGCTAGTGTGGTTCTGTTCAGGTTAATACTACATATCACCAACTGTTGGGCCAGCAAAATGGCTGAGTAGGTAAAGGTACTTGCTGCCAAGCCTGACAACCTAAATTCAATCCCCAGGACCACCTGGAGGAATGAGAGAACCAACTCCAACAAGTTATTCTCTGACCTCTACAATATGCCATGGCATACATGCTCCCCCACAAGTAAATATGAAGCAAAGTTTTTTTCAAAGAATCATCAACTGTTGAACTTTTTAGTTACTGAAAACATTTCCCTCCTTTTAAATAATACTTTCAAAGAGTATGCTCTCATCTGTGTGTATCCAGGGAAATGCTCAATGCTTCTTACTAAACAAATATTTAGCCCTGGGCTCACCTTCTCAGTCCCAGGAATCCAAGTTTCTCAGCAAAATATCATATTCAACAGGTTAATTTTTCTGTTCTACTCTCTAGCAACCTGTGATATTTACCACTGCTAAATGTGAGTGTTGGATAGGCATGTCCTCCGAAAGAACCAGCAACAGCTGAATGTCTGAACCCTAAGACTCTGTAGACTGAGGGAGAGACAGTGACCCCTCCCACCCAATAGGTCAGCTTCAATTGCATGAGGGGGAGGGTCTAAGGAGAGACATGGAAGAAGCCAGGGAGGTAGCATGAGTTTTCGCCATCTTGGCACTGGCAGGCACGATCTGAAGAGCTCAGCCCAGACGTAGGGAAAGAGCCTATGGGTGTCCATACCTTTGTAAGTGACCCCTTCCCGGACATCATTAAGCTTTGTTGGCAAGCCCAAATAAGTATCTTTATTCCCTAAACTGCAGCTTAGAGGAACGTCATATCAGTTTGTCAGTGGGGAAGGAAGGTTGCAGCATGCCTCTCAGAGGGCCTGGGAGCCAAGAGAGGCCACGCAGTATGGGCCTCCCAAAAGCGAATTTGGCTTTACACTGTGCGACAGTTAACCAAGTAGTTTTAACAGATTTTTTGTTAAGTTACCTGGTTGATCTTGGGTCTGTTGACCTGTAGTCAATTCCTAAAAAAGGAAAAGATAAATAACATCTTAAGTTATTTATCCCTAAATAAATGTTCTTTTTTTAAAAGTATTACATTTTACAGGTCTTGCTATGCTTTTAGTTACAGTAGTAAAATTTTTATCTTAATTTACAGGTTTCATAAACTTCACAAATACAACAGAAATAGTAAGTTAAAGGCCAAATTTTTTTCTCTCACTCCTGATTTACTTGTTTCTATACTGCAAATTTTAACTCCTAGCATTACTAACTACATACATCTAACCATTTTTACTTCTTCACACTCACAATCCTTCAACTCTAGTCAAAGCGGCTACCAAGTTTTACCAAATGGAAACCAAAGTCTAGAGAGTATCATAAGCTATTTCTACTACTAAATGGCTTAAAATATAAATGAATTTTAATAAAGGACAGATACACAGGAGACAGCTGTGTGGAAAGGCAGCATGAGGAGCTCCACCCATCTGCTTCCCAGGGAGACTGGCAAAAGTGATTTAGAAAGCAAAAACATTTACAGCCTCTGGAACAAATGAAGAAACAGCTATTCAAGAAGATCTATAAGAATTTGGTAGCCTTTGTGAACCACAACAGCTCAATGCTTCTTTCCTCCAGATTAAAGTGGTTCACCCATGGCTGTTATAGTTAAGAAAATCAGGCCATCTCTCCCCTTAGGTACTAGCAAGACTTGAGCACCTAACATAATCAACAACATCAAAACCCCCCACAGATAATATCTATTATAAATATGGGCATAAATACTTTTAACAGAATACTAGCAAACAACTAGCAACATATTAAAAAAAAACATACATCATAATCAAGCAGGAAGTACCCCAGGGAAGTAAGGTTGCTTCCACATCCAAAAATCATTGTTAATACAACTCACTGATGCAATAACAAAAATTTCATACATCTGTATCAATGAAAAAAAATCAAAACCCAAAACCAACAATCCTCCAAAAACCACACATGACAAAATCTAACACTCTTTCATGACAAAACACACAACAAACCAGAATAAAAGGGTATTTCCTCAGCTTGATAAGAGGCATCCAGGGGAAAAAAAAAAAACAGCTAACATTATATGCATGACATAAAACCCAATGCTTTCCCCCAAGTCTGTGACCAAGTCAAGACCGTCTACTTGTACCACTTCTAGGAGCTGACTGACAACAGTGGCTCTAGCCAGAACAATTGTACAAGAAAAAGATAGGAAAGTATTATAGAATGAATTCAAATCTCCAATATTGTGAATGTACCATCTCTAGAAATAAGGTCTCTGTAAATGCAATCAAGTTAAAATAAAATCATATGGTTGGCCCTAATCCAATATGACTGGGTCATCAGAGGGGGATGGGACACAGACACACGGAACCATAGGAAGAATATCATGAGGTGATGGAGGCCCAAGTTAGAATAACGCTGCCTCAAGTCAAAATTTCAAAAGCTAAAATGACAAAGCACTATTTGCAAATACCAGAATGCAGAAGAAAGGAAAAGAGGTTGTGGTTTCCTCCTCAGATCCATTAGAAAAACACTGACACTAGGTGGCACCTTGATTTTGAACGTCTGGCTCCATAACTGTAAGAATCAACTTCTATAGCTTTAAGTAACAAAATTTGTGATATTAGTGTTTTATTTTGTTTTTGAGACAGGGTCTCACTATGTAGCCTTGGCTGGCCTGAAATTTGCTATGTAGACCAGGCTGGCCTCAAACTCAGAGGTCCAGCTGCCTCTGTGTCATAAGTGCTGAGATTAAAGGTATGTGCCACTATATCTGGTCAGTTTGTGGTACTTTGTAGGCTGTCCTAGAAAGCTAATATAGAAAAGAAAAAAGTAAAACTATCTCTATTTGCAGATTACATAATTTGGTGTAAAGAAAACACTAAGGAATCCACTGAAAACTTCTAGAAATAGAGTGAGTTCAGCAAGACTGCAGGGTATGAGACTGATACCCCAAAATTAATTCCATTTCTATGCACTTGCAAGAACAATCCCAAAATAAAATATCCAATTCACAACAATGGCAAAAATAACAACCTTGAAAATAAATTTGATAAGTACAAAGTATATACACTAAAGCTACAAAACATCAATAAAAAGAAACTAAGAAGCTATAAGTGAATGAGAGGGCTGGGAGTTCAGCTCAGTAGTGGGACATTTGCCTAGCAAGCATGAGGTACTGGGTTCTATCATCAGGACCACCAAAAGGTGGAAGGGAAACATCTTACATTCATGAAAATCTCAGCATTGTTAAGGTTGGAATACCCTTGAAACTGATCTAGAGATGCAATGAGATCCCGGTCAGAGTCTCACTTGACTTTTCTGCAGAAACCGAGGTAAAATTTATATAGAACTGAAAGGAACTCATATTAGGCAAATCAATCCTGATAAAGGAGAATAAAATAACAGAAATCTTACTTCTCAGTTCCAAAGTTATTATAATGCAACAATAATCAATCAACACAGCATACCCAGCACAAGGCTAAAAATATGGGTCCACAGAACAGAATTCAGTCTAGAAATACATCCATACATCAATGGTCAATGGGTTTTTTTGTTTGTTTGTTTGTTTAGGCATGGACCTTCACAACAAGCTAATTATTTTTTAAAGAGTTTTCATAGAGTTTTCGCAGCATAATTTGTCTGAAAAAAAAAAAGATCACTGAATGGTCTTGGCATTCTTATAAGAACCAGTTGAGAAGCCAGACATGGTGGCACATGCCTGTGATCAAAGTACATGTGATGTGGAAGCAGAAAGATAAAGGTCAAAACCAGCCTCAGCTACATAGGAAAAGCAAGGCCAACACAGGCGACATGAGATTCCATTTCAAAAAAACAAAACCAAAATAACTGAAAGGTATATTTCAAATGAGTGAATTAAGTGGTATATGAATTATATCTCACTACAGTGTTTTAGACAGTTATAATTCCAAATGTTCACTTGAAAAACAAGATAAATATTAAATATGAAAAGCATCAAATGGAATGAAACTAAACATTTTAAGTAACTTACGTTTTATATATTTATGCAACAGAATTTTGATGTGAAAGTATACGATGATTGATATTAAGACTATCAAACATGCACAAAAAATAAGCTTTACAATCAAATATAAAACTCATGCTAATTCACAAGTTCCAACTACTCATACTAACAATAAGAAAAATTAGCTAAGGACTGTGTGTAAACAAAGTTATCAAAACAATCCTGTACTCTTCAGAAAGTAAACAAGTAGAAGGCAAACCACCGAAATGGAAACTTACAAACAATGATGTTTGCAAGTGTTTTTCTTGCTGCACTTCCTGAGTAGTCACATTTGTATTTGGAAGCTGATGCTCCACAGCAGTTACACATCCTACATCTGCAACATCCAGGGTTATTTCAAGCTGTCAAAAGAAGATTTATGATTTCACTCTCTCAAACAACAAACATCAAAACATCTCCTTTTCCACATGAGTAAGTAAAATTAAACATTAAGATGCACAAATACATCACATGCACACATAAGATAAAAAGTGAACTTTAGCAATTGTTTTTAGTCTTTTTTTTGAGACAGGGTCTCCCTGTAGCCCCAGTTGGCCTGGAACTCGGTATGTGGACCAGGCTGGCCCTGAACTCACAGAGAACCGCCTGTCTCTGCCTCCTGAGTGCTGGGATTAAAGGCATGTGCCACCATGCCCGGCTAAAAAGTGAACTTTAGCAATTCTTAAAGTGACTAACAACTTGGCCAAAGTAAAACATTACATTTCTGAAGGGTCTGGGTCTATTACAACCAGTAACAAAAAGTTCTAAACTAATCTCTGAAGTGACATTTCACTTCTCATTCTCCCCACTTTGTTCCTACTTGGTCCCAATTTCTTTCTTCCATTGTTAACACGTATGTAATGTTTTCAAAAAACTGTAAGAACATGCGCATAGGGATACAAAGTCAAATTAGACACACTTGGTCCCTGCCCTCAATGGAATCATAATTTAAGAAAAACACATGTTAACTGTACATAAAACTAACTGATATTGTCATAAATACTATAATAGAGATTAACTAAAGTGCTTAAAAAGATTTATCACCTTAGCACTCCCAGTGCAGCAATACTCTCCCACAACCCCAACATTTGCATGACTCTAGATAGCCAAGGGAATGGGTTCGCTCACAATCACTCTTTAATTGGCAACATTACTAGTCACAGAGCCCTTATAATGAATCATTACAAAGATAAACAGATCTGCTAGAACATACATCCCCTTATAAATGGAGAGAGGAATATAAAACCCTGCATGATACAATAGAAACTGTGGGTAAAGAAAAGTCCAAAGCAGGACCTGGAGAGAGGAAGGGAGCAGGGAGTGAGAACAGGTAAAGAGAGGGGAAACAGTTGGTGAAGACAGGGAGAAATTAGAACCCTTGAACACTACTGGTGACAATATGCACTGATGTAGCCACTATGGGGGGGGGTGATGGAGGGAGGCCTTTAAAAAAAAATTTTAAATACAGAATTATCACATACACTACCAAATCCATTTATAATAATATTCCAAAAAAGAACTAAAAGTAGAGAATTAGGGGTTGAGGAGGTGGCTCAGTTGGTAGAATTTGTCTAGTATGTGTAAAGCCTTTGGTTCAACCCTAGCACCACATGCTTGTAATTCCAGCACTTAGGAGGTAGAGGCAGGAGGATTAGAAGGTTGGGGTTATCCTAGACTGTACAGTATGTTTAAGGACAACCTGGGCTACATATTTAAAAGAAAAAAAAGGATTCCAGTTTTATAAGATGAGAATTTCTCCTGAAGGACAGGTAATGATGGTAGCACTGAACTTTATATTTTAAAATGAGTAAAAAAAGGGGCTAGAGAGATGGTTCATTGGTTAAGAGCACATACTGCTCTTTCAGAGGACCAGAGTTCAATTCCAAGCACCCACATAAGGCAGCTCACAATCACCTGACTCCATCCTCTGTAGGATTCAATGCTTTTGGCCTCTGCAAGCACACACAAACAAAAAATAAATCTTTGGGGCTGGGTCCTCTAAAAGAGGACCAAGGTTCAGTTCCCAGCACCCACATTGTAGCTAACAACTACTTCTAACTCTAGTTCCAGGGAATCTGATGCCCTCTTCAGACTCCACGGGCATTGCACAACATGGGTGCACTTACATACATGCAGGCAATATACTCATACACACAAAAAAATAAATATTTTTAAAAGATAAATCTTAATAGGGGACATTCTTTCTCCCCATTTCACAAGCAGCACTTAAGTTTTGTGAAACACTTAATAGACCTAGAGACATTGTCTAATAAATTTAAAGATGTTTAGGGTATCCAAATTTATAAGGCCTTTGAATGTACTATCAAAAATATCCATATTTATAAATCTGCACATGTATTTTAATTGGGCATGCCAAAATAAAACCAATAATTGTGTGCATAATAAAATGAAAAGAAAAAAAGGTATATATTAAAAATTAAAATAAAAAAGGAAAAATGGGAGTGGGAACATGGCTCTGTTGTGAAGTGCTTGCTCCACACGCATGAAGCCATGGATGTGATGTTCAGCATTGCTCAACGCAGGTATAGTGAAATATGGCTGCAATCCCAGCACTAGGGAGGTAGAGACAGGAGGACCAGGAATTCAAGGTCACTCTTGACTACACAGCAAGTTTGACGCCAGCCTGGGCTACATGAGACCCTGCCTCAAAAAACAAAACAAAACAACAACAAAAAAAAAAGTGAAAAATTTTGTCACATGGATTTTAAAATAATTGTTTTGTTTGTTTTCTGTTTTTTGGGGACAGTGTCTCCCTGTAGCTACAGCTGGTCTGAACTCCCTGCCTCTGCCTCCCAGATGCTAGGATTAAAGGTATGGACCACCATGCTTTATTTATTTATTTATTTATTTATTTATTTATTTATTTATTTATTT